GCAAGCTCAGTCTTGACTACTTTCTCCAGGCAGATTTTTCAAAACAGGAAATTACCAGCATTCTTTTTAACTGGTGGCACATTTGAGTAAGATTCAAGATGTTTAAAGGTCTTTAAAAAATCTGTGTCTTCTACAAAACCTGCACAGTGTATAAAGTGGCAAAACATCTTGAGGACCAAAAAGGATATTGATTTGGTTCCCTCCTGCCCTGCCCATCTAGTTATTATTATAGAGTTTTACAAATTAATTTCATTTACTCCATTAATTCTCTTTAGTTTTATGTGGTCTTCCTGGCAGATATTTGAAGTTCAGGGGAAAAAAAAGGATGAATAACCCATATTTGACTATCTTTTGCCCCCTTGCTAATGCCTGACCCTTTTGCAAAGCCCCCTTCTTAATCAGTCTGCAGGAGTTATGATATGTGTTTATAAACAAGTCCAGTCATTTACTATGGACATCAGCCATTTCCTTCTCATCTGCCTCACCGACTACCGACTACTTGCTAGGCCTGCTCCATCAACTGACCATTGCTGTCATTTTCCAGGTCATATAGACCACTCCTTGGCCACCATGTCTATTTTTGCTGGGTTCAGATCCTGTTTTGTCTGGATACCACCACTCTCATGAGTACATTAATCCAATGGGCTATCAGTCCTGCTAATTTTCTACTTGATATCACCTCCTGCAGCCACTTCTTACACCATCTGTTTCCTGTGGGGTCACAAAGAGGTCCTTTATAAAATAGGAGGAGAATGTCTTTCTCTCCCTTTTGTCCCGTGCTTTTTAATGGGAAACTACAGCAGTGTTGTTTGTACATCAGAGCATTTTGAGAAATATCTTGTACATTTTTCTTAGTCCTCCCACCTCCATTGGAACTAGATATAATCCTTGGGTGCTGAGCTGGAAGACAACTCCAGGTTATAGACTATACTTTTCTATTCTCAGAATTTCCCCTGTGTCCAAATGGAGGATTAACAGCTTTACTCTTGGCATTTGAAGCTTTCTACAGAATTCATTTTGCTTATTCTCTCAAAACACCGAAATTTCTGATTAGTGTGGGACTTTCAAACTTAGTAAAGATATGGGGAGGTGGACCTGTCGGTTTTTCAAATTACAGACGTTTTTCTGCCTCTTAGAAATAACCAATGTGGATTATAAAGAAAACTGTATTCCACTCTTCATTTCTGTTACCAGGAGAAAGTTTTGAAAAATTATTATTGAATTGACTTAAACTGAAAGATAGAATTTCATGTATTTTCCTCTTTTGAATGTAAGTAAATGTACAGCCTTTTAGTTTCATCTATGAAAGTTTATATTTAATTTACATGACAAAATATTTATGTAGCTACAAACAGCTAAACTTCAGCCTTGTCTCTGTGCAAATTGTCACAAATTAAAATTATTCGTGTCTGAATAAACACTAAAAGTATGGAATGTTATTTTTTTATTTTCCAGTATAGTCTAGAAGTTGGTGAATTTTGATGCTCAATATCAGAGGAAGTATACATTTGTTTCATCACGTTTTCTTCATTCCCAATGAAATATTAACCCATTTGTATGTCCTAATGCAAATACCTTTTCTTGTGTAGAAACTTTTCCACATATGGATATGTTCCACATATGTTTTTCCTTCATAGACCACCTATTGTACTTATTCATTAATTTCACACTGTGAAATTACCATGTAAGGTCAGAGATCATGTTTATTAATTCTTTTGTTTTTTCTGTATAAATTTGCATAGTGATAAACATACAAATAATAACAGAAGCAGCAACAACAATGGTAAAAATATGAGTAAATATACCCAAAACACATTCCTAATGTAGGTACTTTATTGTATCTATTTTATAGCTGGGGGAATCTCAAAGAAGGTAGGTAATTTGTCCAAGTTAGCTAGTAAGCTGAGAAGTCAGAATAAGAAAACAGGCAAAATCAGATTCTAGAATCTACACATTAAGTTAAATAGATACAAAATAAATATTTAATTGATTAACTAATTGTTTTAAACATTCTAGACCTCACCCATCTAAATGAGAAGGCTGAATATACTTATCCTAATACAGTTAAGTATTTTAGTTTAAAAAAAGTATAAGGTGACAGTTCTGAAATAAACCTCATAAGACTGAGTAATTTGCAAGTAATTGCAAAGAATTTGGAAATATTTGAGTAGTGTTGGGCTCACTAGAGTCACTTCCAAGGTGACAACTTTGAAAGATAATACTCAGTTGAATTGAAAAATTAGTAACTAGCTTAATATCCCCTTTACTGCTTGCTGACAATTAACTACACCCTCTTTCCTAGTAATGCAGTTCACTAGCTCTTCTAATCCATACCGGTCTACAGTAGCAGCCAGCAGCCAGCATCTGGTTATAGCAGGTCAGATCCGGGGTTCAAGGGGTCCTTTGTTTCATCTCTTACTATCTAAGGTATTTTAATGCAAGGAAGAAAGTAGATTCAGAGCAATCCAAAATTTATGATTGGTGTGGCTTATTTCCTTCTTACCCTTTGCAACTTCATCTTTCTATCATTAACCACCATGCGCCTTGATCTACCACCATCCTTGGGGCATACCATCCTTTTACTCAAACAACTGTGTAGGCTTGCTCCCACATCTCTATAATCCTCTACAGTAGAGTACTGTTGTTGCGAGCAGACTCTGGAGCTAGTGTGCATAGATTCAAAACCTGCCTCTACTACTTGCTGGCTGTGTGACCTCTTTGCACCTGAATTTCCTCTTTATAGGAGTAATAATGGTACAACTTTAAAGAGTAGCTATGAGGATTAAGTTAGTAAAGGCTAGGTGTGGTGGCTCATGCCTATAATCTCAGCACTTTGGAAGGCCAAGGTGAGAGGATCACTTGAGCCCTAAAGTTCAAGACTAGCCTGGGCAACACAGCAAGACCCCAGTCTCTACAAAATATTAAAAAAATTAGCCTGGCACGGTGGCACTACTCAGGAGGCTGAGCCAGGAGGATCGCCTTGAGCCTAAGTGTTGAAGGTTGCAGTGAAGTGTGATCACGCCACTGCGCCACTCCATTCTGGGTGACAAAGAAAGACCTGTCTCCCTGCCCCCCCCAGGAATTGAATTAATACATATAAAATGTTTAGAACAAGTGTTTAGCATTATCTGTTTTATTCTTCTTCTCCTCCTTCTCCTCCCCCCTCCCTTCCCCCTTCCCCCTCCCTCCCTCCCTCCCTCCCTCCCTCCCTCCCTTCCTGTTTCCTCCCCCCCCTCCCCCTCCCCCCCCTTCCCCCTCCCTCCCTCCCTCTGTGTGTGTCTCTCTCTCTCTCTCTCTCTCTCTCTCTCTCTCTTCCTTCCTTCCTTCCTTCCCTCCCTCCCTCCTCCTTCTTCCTTCTTTTTCCTTCTTCTTGTTTTGCTTGGTCACCACTGGCTAGGGTGCAGTGGCATGAGTGGCATGATCAAAGCTCATTGTAACCTCAAACTCCTGGGCTCAAGCAATCCTCCTGTCTCAGCCTCAGCCTCCCAAGCAGCTGGGATTATATATGTGTACTATGATGCTTGGCTAATTTTTCTATTTTTATTAGAGATGGGGTCTCGCTGTTGCTCAGGCTGGTTTTGAACTCCTGCACTCAAGCAATCCTCCTGCCTCAGCCTCCTGGAGTGTTAGGATTGTAGGCATGAGCCACTACTGCCCGGCTGATTTTCTTCATCTTTATCATCATCATCACCCAACTGGTGAAATCCTATGCTTAATTTGAGGACCCATTAACATTTCACTACTTCTCTGTAGCTTTCTCACAGCCTAGCTGTTCAGGCAGGATTGCCCTGAACTGTGCTGATAACATTTTTCACTCTGCCATTTGATGCTTAGAACATTGTATCTTGTTAGTTGAACATGCATCTGTTTCTTGATGTTTGTATGTGCATTGAGGTCAAGGGCCAAGGAAGTTTGTACTATGTCTGAAATTATTTTGGATTGTCACCCGTATGGCTAGCATGGGAAATAGTTTTAGTCATTCCTGAGGTTAAAGAAGCTGAGAGCTTTTTCTTCCATCAAAAGATGTCTTAAAATACTTTTCAAACTTCTTTTGTTATTCAGAAGTTTATTGGAAAGAACATTTCTTTTATGATTTTCATAAAGTGTCTACAGTTTAAGTTACTATATGTATTTCTAATATATAGTATAACATACTTATAATATAGTACTATATGTATTTCCAAGCAAACATTTGAAAGTTATAAAAATTCCTTTCAAATATTTCTAAAATATTGACCTTTTTCTGATGCAGACTGACCTTCGCCCAATCAATCTAGATTGATGAGGTTTTATAATACGTGATAAAAAATATTAATAGCGTCCATCACTAGCTCCTGCTATTAAAATTGGAGGAAATATAGGATGTATATTTTTACTATCTTGTTTTTTTTAAAAAATGCAGGTAGAATAGAATATCTTGATCCATCATAACATGCATATAAACAAACTAATCTGAATGCTAATGTGGTCTCATACAGTTTACTTTTAAGTAATTGTATTTCTTATAATAGTAACTGTATACCATTTACCTTGCAAATTCCACTTTAGTCTGTTTGTATGTGTGAGATTATACATATTTACTTTATATATTAAAAATGTACCACAAAATGTGTTTGTACTTAATAACTATATAACAGACATTTCCTTTCCTTAAAAATAAAACTTAAAAAAAATGCTTAAATACTAAATAATTCTAAATATACTCAGAGCCTTAACCAAACATATGCTATTGAAAACCCAAATACTAAATATATTCTTCTTACCACATTTCTCAATGTGATGACATACTAAATCCAGGAAAAGAAGTGTATTTTTCCTTTTTGTAGAGTTTATTTCTGGATGGTTAACCAAGGATACATTGAAGTGTGTTTATTCTAATGGACTATATCTCAAATATCAGTAATGGCAAATGATTCTTTTTGCTATTTCTAAGGGATCTTGGTTTTACTGGCAATAGAAGATAATTAATTGGCACCTCTTTTTAATTATTTTTTAAACAGGTCATAGATTCCTTCTGCCATCAGATGTCTTTCTGCTTGACTGAACTGCACCTGTGGTCTTTGAAGAATACCTTACACATCGGGGGTAAATGAGCTCTGGATTAATTTCAATATTTTTCAAATATGTTACACCATTATAAATAAGTACTAGCAAAGGTTAGAGCCTAGATTTTCTAGCTGGAGTTGCATTCTTTTCTTTATTTTTAATAAAAAATTGGTTAATGGAAAAAATTCCTTTTAATTACTCTTATTCACTTATTTTTTTCAGCTTAGTTAGATTTTTAGTTTTGGAAAATAATTTTAATGATTTAATATTTGTTTCCTCTTAATATACACACATGTTCAATTTTTTCTGGGATTTTCCATAATAACAGATTTACATTCATATATATTTACAGACTAGCTAATGGTAAAGGCATTTCTATTACATATTAAAATAACATTTCAAACATATAGCAATTATTTTCATGTTCTTTGTATTTCACATTTCTTGAGAAGGAGTAATACAAATATGTTTTAACAATGTTTATTACTATCATAGGATAAAGTGTATTTCATTAGGAAACATTAAAAAAAAATCTTTTCTCCTTTAATTATCCACAGCAACTTAGCAGGATACTATTATTTTTATACCTTTAGCATCATTACTAAGGAAATAGTTTACCTTACAAAGTACTATTTCTTTATATCAAATATATAATTACAGATGAATGTCATATTTTCATTGTTTATCTACTGTTAAAAAATGCATAAGGACAAAACTTCCAGTTAAGCAAAGTAGATTAATACACATTTGCTTCCTCCCAAAACTCTTCTAAAATGAGAGTAAATGAATTAAAATAAAGAAGGCATAAACCCACAAGGACTAAGAGAAAAGGAGATGGGACAACTGCAATTGGAGAATTTTGGGAAGATGGAAGGGATGGAAGAATTAACAGAACTGAAAAATCTGAGTATCAGTTGCCTACAAAGGAAAATTCCAATGACAGCCAATTTGTATCTCAAACCTCTGGAACAGTACAGAAATTTGAAGAGCCAGACATTGCAGAAGATGAGGATGTAGCATGAGAGTGACAACAAAGGGACTTGAAAGCCTGCATAAGAAGTTGTGCAATACCTCTCATGCTATGGAAATATTTAATAAGGAAGCTCTAAACTTGGGGAAACCAGGACCAGTGGAAGAAAACCTGCTGAACTGAAAACAGGGATGAAATGGAAACCTACATACTGATGGGTGAGGTCATTTTAATCACACTTGGTTCTGAGAATGTCATACCCATTTGTACACTTTCCAAGAAAGAAGGAGCTTGAGAGATTCCTCTCTGGAGCAGTTTCATGGCTCCAATAGAAGACCTATTTATATTGACATTTGAGGTGGTCCGCCTATGGAATACCCTGGTCCCTGTCTGATCAATGAAGCCCAGCAGTTGTCAAGCCCTATTTTTGTACTCAGAGTTTCCAATCAGCTTTCTAGTGCCTCACTTGTAAATATGAACAGAAAGCTAAGGATCACCAGATATTTGAGGAATGTCTTCAATAGGAAACAAAACAAACAAAAGGTGAAAGGATCGCTGAAGAGACAGAGATAATGTAGGAAGAGGGAAAAAGTGCAACAGAGACATAAGGAAAGATACTAAGTCCATGAAGCAAGAAACAAAATACAGAAGCTTCAAAAATCATATGAAGTTATACAGATCTCTTGGAAAATTAAAAACATGTTGCAGAAAAAACTTCAAAACTCAAAAGTATAAAATAAATTTCTTAGAAAGTAGAAAAACAATCCACAAAGAAAGTGAGATTATTTCACTGCTGGTGGGGATCTTTAATTGAAGTATTTTCTTCTCTAATCATAATTGCCTATTTTTCATCTTATTACCTTGTCCTCTTATATCTAGGTTTTGTGCTCCTTTGACACCACCTTGTTTTAGTCCTTTGATACTCTGCCAGTCCAATTGGGCTCCTCTTCACTTATCTTTCTACCCAGCTTAGACTCCATAGTTGGGAATCTGATCTATCCTATCTTGATTTCCTTTTACCCCTCGTCTTCTGTTACATGCCCAGCAGACTCTTTCTCTGCCCCTCAGTCTGCCCTAGAGTTTTCTGTCCCTGCTGTTTCTATTCTGAGGCAGTGAATTGTTTTTAGAAAAGGATCCTACAGTTGTGCATAGTGACCCCATGGGGAAATTATGACTTTAGCCCCTCTGGATCTCAACGGGGCTTATCCATTCTCTGTTAGGAACATTCTTCTCCTTGAACTCATATGAAATCCTACTTCTTCTTTATGGTTCAGCTTTAATAAGTCGCTCAGAGAAGCCTTCCCTGCCATCTAGACGAAGTTAGTAACTTCGTTAATGTGCTCTTATTATGTTTGACATTTAAAGTATTTTTAAAAATTTTGAAATAATCACAAATTTAACAGAAAAATTGTCAGTACAGATAATTTTTTTCTTGAACCCTTTGAAAATAAGTTGTAACCTGATGCCTATCACCCCCAAATACATTAGTTTGTATTTCCTACAAAAAGGATTTTGTCCTGCATCACCACAATATAGCCATCAAAATCAGGAAAGTAGCAATGATATACTTCAATTTAAATTGACCAATTCATCAGTTGTCCCACCAGCATCCTATTTTAGCAGAGGTATTTGTTCACAGTTACACGTTATGTTTAGTTGTCATGTCTCTTTTAGTCTTCTTCATTCTGGGACAGATCCTTCATCCCCCCCATCCCCCATTTTTTAAACTTTCATGACCTTAACACTTTTGAAGATTTTTAGAGCAGTTATTATATAGGATGTTCCTAAATTTGGTTATATTTGAAGTTTCGTCAGTTAGGTTCAGGTTATGCATGCGTGGTGGAAGTATCCTGGAAGTGGTGCTGTGTTATCAATGCACCCTATCAGGTGATGCACATTTTCAATATGTCTCTTTTCTGATGATATTTGTGATCACTTGATTAAGGTGGTGTCTGCTAGGCTTGTCCACCACAAAGTTACTTTCTCCTTTGTGATTAATAAGTGTTTTATAAGGGGGATACTTTGAAATTATGTAAATATCCTATTCCTCATGACACTTCAAATATTTTAATTTCTTTTTTTTATTTGTTGACAGTATCAAAAATATTTTTATTTTCTATTTATCTTGTCTCTATGACTCAAATTTCCTATTTTATTTAGTTGTTGTAATCTATTACTATAATTATTTATTTTGACATTTAAATTGTCCCTGATATAGCCAGAGGGACCCCCTTCAAGCTGGCTTCTGTGTCTTTTTGACATCTCCTTGTCAACATTTGAGCATTTCTATTCTTCTGGGCACAAAAGATATTCCAGACTTATATATATATATATATATTTTTCCTTTTATTTTATCATATTATGGGGGTACAAATATTGTTAGGGTTATATATATTGCCCCTGCTCCAGACTTATATTGTACTTTCCTTTCCCCAGCCTTGGAATCAGCCACTTCTCTAAGGAGCTGGTTCCTTTTAGAGGAGAAGAGTGTCTAGAATCCATATTGTGCTTTTAGGTGCATTCATTGCTATCATTGCTATTCATTGCTATTGCTGCTCCCAGGCCCCCTCAGTGGACAGAGTTTAGGGAATGTATATATGTATGTATATATACATATTTGTTTTGAGACAGGATCTTGCTGTGTTGCCCAGGCTTGTCTCAAACTTATAGGCTCAAGCAGTCCTCCTGCCTCAGTCTCCCAAGTAGCTAGCATTACAGGTACAATCCACCACACCTGGCTCCATATACACACATATTTACATCCATATTCATTTCTCTATCTCTATATATTGAAACTGTGAGTTCACTCTGCTACTTTCAATCTACCACCACAGGGTTCGTTCTAATTTTATCCCTTTCCATATTTGTACTTCTCAGTGGGAAACCTGGGGCTCCCTATTTTTAATTGATTTACTTAATTAGTTATCCTGTATGCAATCAGTTCCCTTTCTATGTGGCCACTCCCTCCCCTGCATGGATTCCCTTCTTACCCTGTGTGAGTTTTGACACACTACATTGGGCCGTCCCTGTATGTGAATGTTCTCCTCGCCTTATTCAGCTTCTAATACCCCTCACCAGGCCATTGCCCCATGTGAATATCCTTACCCTGCTAGGGTTCCAACACAACAGCCAGGCTGACTCTCTGTGTGGATGCCTTCCTCGTCCAGCTCTGGCACCACTTATAGAGCAGTTCTCTTTATCTAGATACCTTCCTTTATCCTGCTTGGGTTTTGATAGTTCCACTGTGAGCCAGATGCAGTAGGTGAGACTTGTCCACATAATACAGGGTCTTTTATGATCTTCATAGTTCTATTCTAGAGTTGTGGTACATATTTGGTTGTATGGAATGATTGGCATAATTACAGAATAGAATATTTTAATAGAGGATATTTCCTGTGTCCATAATGCCTGTGGTTCTTAGATTTAAAAAATCCTTTTATTGAACTTTAACATAAATACTGAAAAGAGTACAGATCATAAGAGTATGTTGTGAACTATCAAAAGGTGAACACACATGTAAAATCACTGCCCAGGTCAAGAAATAAAATGTTATTAGCACCCATGAAGTCCTATTGGTGACTTTTCCCAATCAATCTTTATTAGATATTTTCAATCTGACTAGTAGAAATAAACTGCATTGTTTAAAATTACATGTCTCACTAATGGCATGATGAATAAAATAAACACACATGATTGACTATTTTGAAAAACTGTATTTGAAAAGTTAATTATAGCGGTAATACATTTTTTTGAAGTTTTATCATTCAGTTTGAGAAAGTTTGGAGCAGTCAGTCACTAGGGGGCAGGCTGTACTGCTTCCACTTTAGAAACAGTTGTGTACGCCTTACTTTAGTAACTGAGAATTATTTTGCATGGAAGAAAACAAATGTTCCTTCAGTGAAAGAAATATTTCATTATTCATAGCTATAAATAAAAAGGACAAAATTATTTTGTTCTCCCGTATTTAAATAGCAAGAACAGATTCCTTGGTTAAATGAATCTCAACATCTGGGAAGTATAGCTTTGCTTCTTAGGTAGCCCCAGCAGAGTATCCAAATTTGAATGGGTTTGGAAGGCTTTTTGAATTTAAACAAGTTTCAGATAATAATTTATCCATACCTTCCTCTAATCCTCCCTTTCTTTCCTGCAGATTTCCCCCCAAATGAGAACTAGACTCTTGAGCTAAATTGGAGAAAAGAAAGCCACAGCTTGGAATCCAACAGTTAGGGCATTTTCTTCCATCCACTGATTTCATTTGGCATTACTTAGTGGCAGTTCCTCTTGGTAGCGCCCTGTGAAAAATATCAGAGGAAGTGTGAAAGAGAAAACTTGGTCTTTCTTGATTCCAGTTCTTTACTAATCTTTTCTTCATGCCATTCTAGTTTTGTATACATCTTTTCTCATTAGATTGATAAACTTTCCAGTTTTTGCATACCCCTAGAATAGATGAACCCATCTCCAGATGCTTTTGAGCCATTTTATTTCTAGTAACATAAGAAGACTGTTTCTGCTTTCCTCCTCCCTCCCGCCCCCAGTATAGTATGGTTTGGCTTCTTATTCTCTGGGACTTATTACATCATTTAATGTTATTTCTTCCTTTCTATAGATAGAGACATCGGGATCTACCAGTATTATGACAAGAAAGATCCACCAGGTAAAGTACCTATTCTACTAAACTAATTTTTATAGACTAAACATTCTAAACTATGAAATACTGACCATTAAAAACTTTTTTTATGAGCCTTAGATACATTTTAGAATTTTAAGAAAAGTCACTTCAGTTCTTTAGAAAAATGCCGAGGTTGATATCTATCTGTTCTATATAAAATAAAGTAATATTGAGAAAATGCTGTAGAAGAACATGAAAATTCTCATTTTACTGCTGATCAGGCTGATAACAGGACAGTCTATTCACATTTATTTATCGGTGTCCCAGTAGAGGGCATTGTTAATGCATGGGTCCCACTGATGCTGGCCTCCCGGATCCTTACCTGATATCTGAAATAGGCATTTCTGAGTGAATGATCAATTTTCTTTATCTGATTAATCCTGTTAATCCCAGAAGTTTTATGATGGGCCAGAAGGTCTTTCTAGCTAGAGTTACTTCCTGTTTCGGTCTCCGTTGAAGTGGGCTTGTGTGAGTACCCTATGTGCTTAGCTTGGTGGTTAATAGGCTGACTTCATGGTTCTGATGACAGACTGAAGCAGCTTCTGTTCTGGGCTCGGTTGCAGTTCCCTTCCCTATCTGATGAGATTGGAAGCTCAGGATATTGGCCCACCTGTTGTGCCTTTTCACTGCAAATTTAAGAAATATCTCTATGAAATGCAAACATCTAAATTATGGCATTTTTCAACTGTCCTTTTTAAAGTTTAGCATAATTTATGAATCACAATATATATAATAATACATCATATATACATATTAAAAATATAAGGTATTACAATAAAAATAAATTCTTGTTTTTTTCTTCTTTTCATCTCTCCTTTGCCACAATTCCAGCAACAGAGCATGGTAACTTAGAAGAAAAGCAGAAGCTGGCTGAGTGTAAGCTTACTTTATATAATTTTGGAATTATTATAAAACTGAAAATTTCTTATAATTACAAGTTCCCATTGTTCAAGTACATAAACATATGGGAATTATATTTGTTGGGCCTTTCTAATTTAGACTATTGAAATCTTTACTCTATCCAACTTTGATAAGATATATGCTTATGGAAACAAACTTTCTTAATGAACTATATTTATATTAATATATTTAAAATAAATCTACCAGGTTAAAATAAATTAAATATATTTAAAATTAATGTTACCATCAAAATAAATTCTGATGGTAACATTTAATTACTCATACTTTGCCTAAATTATTAATGTGGTTTACTCATTTTAAGAAAATAAGATTTGTAATATCAGTCTTAGCATTTTATTTAGTCTTTTCTGTTCTCAAATATTGTTACATATATAATATGGCTACAATGTGATATGGTTTTAATGACTTAAAATTAAATATAATTTAAGATTTTTTTGGAGGATAGCTGGAACTGAAAATCTCACTTGTTCTCTTGTTTTAAATGGTTGAACTGACATTTAATTTTTAAAAATACTGTATTAGTAGCTGCAACACAGATTTTAAAATTTGCACATATGCTCTACACATCAAAATTATATTTATAGAATCAAGTTAATTTGCTGAAAGAAGACATATCATGATTCTACTCTCAAAGTTAAGTATTTATATATTATATATATTATATGTATATGTACACACATATACACAAACATAAATACAGCTCATGTTTAGAATTATTAATTAGGAGAATCCAAAGATGAATTTATTTTTATGATAAAATGGATATGAGCTTAACATTTTATTAATTCTTTTAAACAGAACTGTTTTTAGTTTGTTTTAGGCTAACATTGTGACTCTACTAAATAATTTTGCCTTTCAATTAACTTTATTTAAAACAAAGGCTTATCATTATTGAATTGTGTAGATTTTAGAAAGGATTGTTTTAAATTAAAAACAGTACTATTAGTGCCTAATTTATTAAAATTTGGATTTCCCTCAGATTTTTTCCTTAGTTTTTAAAAATGCTTAGTTTTAAGTTCATTTTCTGTGTATCATTTTTGTATTTCATTTCTTTCCTTACTACATTTACTCACAAGAATTTTTAGGTCTGAGTATGTCATTTGCAGAATTTGAAATTTCTTTCGGATTGAATATTTAATTATTTACATGAAAAAGTTACTTCAGTGGCAAAGAGTGGGTCATTTACCATTAAGTACTTAGATTCACAGGCCTAGCACCCTTTCCCAGGAATTCTCTAAGCCTTGTTGGTTGTCATCGTAAAATTATGATTAGGGAGATTGTTTTGCGGTAAAAATCCTGTTCCTATGACAAAGCCTTTCAAAAGGCTGTCATTTGATGATAGAAATGAAGCCCACTTCCTCTCAATTATGGAGGTGTTTTATTTTAATCTTCCTAAGGCACACTGCTAAGTAGAGTTTCCTTTTTTAAATCTTGTTTAACTAACTGCAGTACATGTTTTATTTGCCAGCACGAGATTATCCTTGGACGCTTAAAAACAGACGCCCAGAAAAACTCCGAGACTCACTCAAAGAGTTGGAGGTATCTTTTAAAAAGTTTCAAAAATGGCAACAAACAAATCTGTTTTAAAACATCTTTCAACAGCTTTAATTTTCATAAAGGATCAACTCTCATGGTGATGATAGCTTTGCTTTTGTCCAGTGAGGAGTTCCAAAACAGTTGCATCTTTGTGTGGCATGTTGATCTTTTTTTGCTTGCAAATCAGAAGCACTTTAACTGATAATGACAATATGTGTAGCCAACTGCACTCTCTCTTTTTCTGTTGTACTTCAGGAGCTGATGCAAAACAGTCAGTGTGTGCTGAGCAAATGGAAGAACAAATATGTCTGTCAGGTAAAATGATTTGAGAAGCTTTTGCAGTGTTTGTAACCAATGGAGCTGAAAACTACATGGTAATTGGTATTCTTGTGTTTATGATAGGTAGTGGACAGAAACTTTTTAGGAAGGGATATTTCATAGTTTGAATTCTAGTTATTCTAGAGCTAAAATCAGACAGTTTGACACAGGCTACCAGGCTCATTAAGCAATATTAATCAGTATAGTTGTACTAACATAAACACTAATAAAAATCTTTTCATATTGTATTTTTTTTTGGATTTGTCTGAATGTTGTATTAGATGTTTACTGGCAGAGATTTAATCATATTTTTGAATGAAGATGAAATCACAGGACAAAAGGTTTTTTGGTGTACCACTCTTGTGTTTTTAAATACCATGCTTAAGGAGATCAACAAGCAGACTAGAGTTAGACCTAATATAATAAGACATTGGTCTTACTACTTTTTGAACCCTCTAAGCTGTGCTGCTGTTTACTATGGTAACCACTAGTCATATGTGGCTATTTGAATAATTAAATAAAATTAAAAATTCAGTTCCTCAGTTGCACTATCTACATTTTAAGTGCTCAGTAGCCACATGTTATCATATTAGACAATGCAGATATAGAACATTTCCATCTCAGAAATTTCTATTGCACAGCACTATTAGGACCTCCATGAAGTGATCTAAATATTTGAATGGGCCCAGAGTCAGCACATAACCAGGACACAAATGCCTTAGCTTTGCTGATAGGCTTAAAAAATACCTTTTTTGAGAAAAATTTTATATGTTTGTGCTAAAAAGGATAATTATTAGTCATCCATGGTATTGAAGTTACATTAGAACTAGTAATTATAACTGATTTGTGCAAATATCAAATATCCTGTATCCATTTAAATTCTTACTTACATTGTGATTTATTTCATGTTTAACGATTCTTGTTTGCAGTTTAGGCACATGGTTCTATTCATAAATTTACAACATCAAATTTGTGGTAATTATAAAATTTTAATCTATCATTTGAATACAGACTCCCATTTCAGAGGATTCTAGTTTTCCCGTGTTTTTTCCTAAACTAGTCTACCTAAACTTATGGAGGTACTGTTTATTTACCTCCTCAACTGGCATAAGTTTTTACCTTTCAGAGACTGTTTACAAGGCTGAATTAATATTTTTAGAACCATAATATTTCTTAAATTTGCATTAGGATACTATCAAAAGGATGGGATTTAAAAAATTGTAGCTTGTTTGCATAATAGTAAGTTTTAATCATACATTAAAACTTGAATATAAAATATGCTCCAGAAAGTTTCAAACTTAGTACAACTCAAACTTGTAGTTTTTAATGCCATTACTCACCTTAAAAACAGGCTCAAAATTATTTGACTGGAGGGCAAGCCTGCCACCTATATTAAGAGGCGTGTCTCATGGCCTCCACCCTTACCCAGTACACAGGGTAAGTTGGAACATGTCGGGCATCTTAAAATATGCAGTGGAGCATCCCAATAGACAATGCTTTTTAGATAGCTTTATTGCATTTTGATGTGATAGTAAGTTTGTGTGTGTGTGTGTGTGTGTGTGTGTGTGTGTGTGTGTGTGTGAGAGAGAGAGAGAGGTGGGGGACATTTGGAGAAGGATGTGCATCACTGTTGAATTAATTAAACTCAGAAAAGGAATTTTCATGATAGAATATATTTAAAATTATTTTTGTAATTTACAGCTATCTGACAATACTGGTTAATTAGGCAGGTGTACCAGTGAGCCTGCTTTTAACATTTTCAATACGACTCATCTCTTATGTTCTGTCATATTTTGTACTTTATTTCTATGATGACTAAGATATTTCTCAAGTAGACCTTTTACTCCCAGCCCATTCTTGATATGATATATTTTAACAAGAAAACTTCACCTCCACCCTGCCCACAGGTCGACTTCAGTCCCCACACCTTTAGGGCTTTAGAGACCTCCTGACATTATCCATCCATTTCTCCAATTTCTGGATAGGACTGTTAGCTAGGTCTTCTAAAAATGTGTCTTTGTTCTACTCCAAAAGATCTGTAGTATCACAATAAATTAAAATTTTGATACTCAAGATACATTTTTAGCTTAAGGAAAGGATCTCCTTAACCTTTTTGTTAAATTTTACTTAGTTATAAAATAAGTAAACCTCCTCAACAGGCTTCCCAAAAGTCCTGCTTCTGTGCACATGTCCAGGATGGTGGTTCCAATATAGCACATGCTTTAATATTTTATTAGTGATTTCCTCATATTTTAGCTCTAAAATGGCAGTAAGTGATCACAACATAATGTTCTATAACTCTTAGAAAAGGAGTGAAAAATGTTTCTCAACATCTTGGTGCTAATACATTTGGACTGTCAGTTTTTGAATTTGGCTACTCCCCTACTAATGTAAATGTTTTATCCCCAAGAAATGGTAAGTTTAGAATTTACAAATTTATTTCAGTTGTCTCTTTAGGGGTTCTATTTCTTGAAAAAGTCCAACTGTTTAGAAATGAGTGAGGCAACTATGACAACATAAAGGATTTCAGAGGGTGCAATTTGAGCTTGGACCTTTCCCTGTGCCTAATGAGGATTTATAGGATGTCATCATTACCAAAGCTTAGTTAATATCGTCAGTCCAATGACCTGTAACTAGTACCATTTAAAAAATAATTCCCCTCATAAATTCAGAACAGTTTACAAATCAAGACTTACATATATATACATATATATATGTTTTTTTTCAGGGTAAAAATTTCAGATTATGCCTATTATTAGTTTGAGATGTATTAAAGGTATGAGATGTAGAGTTTTAGTTTTACTAACTATTAAATATATTTCTCATTTTAATTTTTTTTGTCTCCTAAAATTATTTCACTAAAAGAAAGTATATAATAGTTTCCTGCTTTGAATTTTTTAAATCATTATACAACTGTCCTTAAGGAATAATAGTTTCAGCATTAAAACACTATTAAATGTATCACTCTGGTGGTATTTTTGAATTCCATAAAGTATTGTGCTTTAAGTCACATTCATGTTTGCAGATTATTACATAATTAGTTTAAAATAATATTATCATTAAGCATAAATGTAACTTCACATGTGTTGATTTTATATTAAATTATTTGAATTGTATATGTAAATTTAACTATAAAAGGGTGTAATATAGTTAGCGGTACCCTGGTTTCTGTCCATAACAATTCTACATTTTCAGGCACAATCTTAAATTGTCAAGGAAAGTTAGTTTCCTTTTCTAATTCCTGTAATGAATTATTTGACAGGCCGTGCAAGAGTAAAAATTATTTTTCAAGCCTATCACAGGTAAATTATGACCTTATGGAACTTATTTGATCACAACTTCCTTAATTGTAGAACCTGATCTTTCTTTTCATTAAACTGTGTGAAAATCGATTTGATTTCCTCATAAAATAATAATAGATGAACCATGGTTTTAAGTTACAAGTATTAATAATAGCATACTATTTGTACAAAACCCATCACGCGGTATTTACTGTGATGAAGAACTGTAAGAGTCACTAAGGAAGTGTAAGTCATGGGCTGAGTCCCCAGCATAACCTAGTCAAGGAAAATAGACACATGAAATCACTAGGGCACTAATGAGTGCTAAGTTGTATTACACTGAGTAAAAGGATAGAAGTTTAGAGAAAACATAGACATCAGTGTAATTTAAAATAAGAAAAATTTTGTGGAGAATTTATAACTTAGACCTAAAAGGACATGTAAAATTTGGTTATACTGAAAGGAAGGACATTTCAGAAAAAGGGAATTAGATTAATTGAGAATTAAATGGGGTGTTTATAAGGTAGTCAGGAGGTAGGCCCATGTGGAAAAAAATGATTCATGTTGAAGAGCAAAGTAGTAAGTTTGAAAAGCATCTTGGAACTTTCCTTGTCAGGGACTTTGAATGTTACATTGAAGTATTGATACATTGTCCTGTAACACTTTTACATCAGAGAAGTACCATACATATTAAAATTGGATTGTGGAAGGATTAACCTGACAGGATAAAACATGAGAACCAGAGGCAGCAAAATCATTTCAAATGATAAGTGCAGTGAGACTAAGATGCAGAGAGTTTTGAAAGCCAGAAGAGAAATTTAGAATGATAGGTAAAAAATTTTGTTTTGGCCCTTTTACATATGAAGCAACTAAAGATAATCAAATGATTATATTATTGGAAATATGGAACAGGTATGGAACTTGAGTGGAAGGTTGGAGTTGAAAATTTTGGAGCAGACAGCTAAAGAGATATTAAAACCATCCAAATGGGTGGGGTCATGAGGGGAGGTGAATATCTTGGAAGAAGAACTAAGAGCCAAGGATCTTCTCATTTAGAAGACAGAAGAGACAAATTAAGCCAATAAAAGAAACAGAGCAATAAGGGTAATGAATATCTATAGAGAAGTTCATTGCCCTAAAAATTAAGGGGTTAAAAGTCAGAGGACCTGAAAAAAGGCTTAAGTCATATTTTATGTTTTAATATTTAACTACTTAGAAGTCTCCATATTGTTATTATTAAACTGTCTATCAACAGGCACTTATGGAGGCTCAACAATAAACCGGTTTTTATGTTAGGAACTGTTGCAAATATTAGATTGAATCCTTACTTTCAAATAATTTCAGATGTATTTGGGAAACAAAACTAATGTATAGGATTAAAGAATAATTTGAGTTTACGTGTTATATTTGTTGGTTCTGTATCTAAACACATTTAAAGTTTAGGGATTGTTGCTGATTAAAGTAGTTGGTTAAGATTTCATAGAAGATGCTGGACTTAATTAGGCAAACAAAAAGGGAAAGGAAGACATTCCTACTCATGGGGAATTGTATCACCAAAGAAAAATTGTCCAGATAATTACAAAGCAAGGTCTAGAAAAATAGCCTGAAAAGATTGCTCTATAGATGTTTATTTGATGACCTCTTTTGATATATACTGAAAATACTATTTGCTGCAGAGTTGGGCTAATTTCACTGTTATGCTAAACAAATGAATAA